CCATTTACATCATTTAACCTCACTGGTGCTCTTTCATTGATCATCCATGACTGATCAATTTACTTATTATATGTTGCCATTAGCAACGTTCCTTTGTTCAGACACAAGCAGAGATTGTTGAGGCGCAATAGTTCTCTCACGCTACACTAAACAAGCGACGACACTGGACAGTAGCCATTTGTTTCTTTCAGCCGACAATGGGATGTGGAACATCAAAATCGGTCCAAACAGCCGTCGAGACAACAAATCGCAGTCAGAATACGAACGACAACTTTGAATCAAAACCGACTGCACCCAAGGATAAAGCTCCTGACACCAGCCTAATTGAGAGAGGTGAAAATCAATTTTCCATCGGCCACAGAGTGCATGTTTCTGGATACACGGGTGCTGTCAAGTTTATCGGTTATCTAAGCGACCCAAGTGGCGGTGAGTGGATAGGAATCGAGTTAGACCATCCACATCCACAGGGGAACGATGGATTCTTCGATGGAGTTCGTTATTTCACTTGTGCACCGAGGCATGGCATGTTTGCTCGACCGTCGGTGGTATTTCGTCACAAAAATGCTGAAAATATCACTACAGCAACGAATATTTCTTTGGAAACGATCGCTTTTATTCAAACGAACATTCGACGGTTTCTTGCAAGGATTCGACTGGAAAAATTTAAACAACGCTCGGGAATCGAGAAGCAGATCGACGCACATGTGTTAGCGACACCAGCAGAACAAACTGAGAGCGTCGAAAAACTGAGCGCCTACCTGACAAGTAGATGGGAGGGAGACAGGAACAAAGCTTACGCGATTTTCCGCTGGCTGAGTTTCAATGTCGCCTACGATGCGGATGGCTTCTTTGGAAGGACGGAGAGAAAGAGTGGCGATGCCGAAAGCGTGCTACGCCATAGAACAGCAGTGTGCGCTGGTTATGCGAATCTTTTCGACGCACTTGGTAAAGCTGCGGATCTTCAGGTGCATACCATAAATGGCTACGCCAAGGGTTATGGCTTCGAGCCCGGCCAGCTGATTAAAGAGACAAATCATGCGTGGAATGGCGTCCTAGTCAACGGTGAGTGGTTCGTTTGTGAGCCCACATGGGGTGCTGGTTACCTAGGAGCTGATTTGATGTTTCATCGCAGCCCAGACGTGTCCATGTTCCTGATGGACCCCGAATATGCAATTTACAGCCACTACCCATCCGACGAACAGTGGCAGCTCCTCGAGAAACCTATCAGCAAGAAAGAGTTTGAGAAGTTGGTTGCGCCTTCTGGAAGAATTCACAAAATGGGAGTGGAAATTCTCAGTCACAAGGAAAGCATGTATGATATTGATGATGCAGATCACGTCGAAATGATGTTCTACTCTCCATCGTTGAAGATACTACGAGGTGATCTGAAGGACTTCTCAGGAAGAGACTACGAAGGAAGAAGATGGACACAGATTCTACCCTGTGGGGTGAACCAAGTGAAGCTAAAAGCACAGTTCCCTGCCCCTGGAAAATACAAGCTGAAATTGTACGTAAGAGACGAGCTGATCCATACAAAATGGCATAGTGGAATAGAATATATCATCCAGGCCAAACGAGGAGTTAAGCAAAATCGAGGCGGATTCCCACAATTGGGAAGTGAGTTTTATGAAGCAGGATTCAGTCTTGATCATCCATCCGAGAACATTGTATCCGACGACGGAAAGGCCTACATTTCATTACAGAACTTTAACATTCAAATTTCGCACATCGTGGGCCGGCTTGATCTTGTGGGAGACGAAAAGAGACTCAAAAAACACTTCGGTGAATTTTCATTTTGCTACTCAGAGAGGACAGAGAGTGGCTTTCAAGTGATGGTGCATTGCCCACTTGCAGGGGAGTACACTTTGAAAGTGTTTGCCAAGTATTATGGCGAAAGAAAATCAGATACGTTTGTGTGTACCTACTACATAAATGCACTCGCTGGTGTAGAGCCTGTACCAGGCTTTCCGCGATTGTCGGACAGATTTGTCTCGTGGGGCCTGGAGCTCAAAGAACCCCAACACAATATTTATGCCCCTGATGGACGAGCCTCCATTAAGCTGAAGACCCCTGACAATGTATCAGTTGTTGGTTATTTGATGAAGGACAAACAACATCTTGACAACAGTTTGTGCTTCAGTAACACAGCGGAGTATGTTGGCACAATTCTGGCTCATGCGCCTGAAGCTGGCGTTTTTAAGCTGAATGTGTTTGGTAAAAAACCTGAGAGCAAAGACAGTGAATATTTAGCGACATTCATGATCAAGTCTGATCAAGCAGCAAGCTCAAACCCAGGCTTCCCCAACCTGAAGGACGAGTTCAAGGAGTGGGGACTAGAGCTAGTAGATCAGTTGGAGAACATCGTTTCACGAGTCAGCCATGTCAAAGTCACATTTTCTAATCCTCACGGTATCGCTTTAAAGCCATGTCTGTTTGATGCGCATAATAAGCAGATTGACAACTATTGTTCAGTGGAAACTGCTGACAAGATGACTGTCATAACATGCGAGCTGCCGGAAGCTGGAAAGTTTAAACTAAATGTGTTTGGGACAAATCCATTGATCGAGAGCACAAAACGAGTTTATCTCTGTACCTACAAATTGTTACTCACGAAATGATGTCATTTCAAGAAGGAAAGACATCAGAAACACAAAGGTTTTAATAATCCTTTCATCTAATTGATGTATTGCTGAAAATTCGAATTTACTCGCTGTATCTTTAGGAGATTCTCTCCCCCGTTGTTAGTGTAACACTTTTGCCAAAGTGTTTAAATTTTTTTTTGCATTGAATACGCCATAGGCTCTTCGATGTTTGGACAGCCTGAGAGAATTGACATCTTTGTTTGGAGAAGTGGGGAGAAGGTTTCTTTAACTTTTATGTGTATAAAACGTATGATATAGGTATTTATTCCAATCGAGTTTTCATTCAACTATTTTCGTTTATTTCACGGTCCTTGATTAAAACTATTGCTCATGTACAATTTACCTTGAGCGGCGTTTAAACCAGATAAAAGAAAACATCAAAGATAAATTCAAAGCCGATGCATCTTTCACGAGGGAACTGGTTTTATAGGAAAAGGAGTGGTAGGTCTTTTGATTTGATTTCAAGAGAGTAGCAAGCTGTAGATCGTACTATTAAATCTAAAGACAACAGAGACACCCAGAAGCGCGAGGTTACATTCCTATCAGTTTCGTAATATGTGTAAAAAACCAAACCAATCCCGTCGTGGCGAAAATAAGTGGAAGACAATAGCTGGGGGGGAGGGAGGGGGGTCTGAAATGCTTGTCACTACCCCCCACCCCCTTTGCGAGAAAATTTTTTACCTTGTTTATCATTTTTGTTAACATCATACAGACGAAGAGAATACTTATGGTTAATATTCTCCTGTACAGACGTTGTAAATTAAGGTGTGACAATGCGTAAAACCGAAGAAATACACCAGGCATAAACATTTTCTAGTGGTGGATGCTTCGTCCTTCCTGCTGCGCGCCTACGAGTCCGTAAATGCCCCAGGTAAAGCTGCGATGTAGGCCATCGTGGAAATTATTATTCGTCACAGTCCCCCCCTCCTCTCCCCCGTGAAAAATCCAAGATATGCCTTTTAATTATTCAGCCTAGTCGTGGACCTGTTAGACAAATCCGACGGAACCGCCCGAAGACGGACGCTAGAAACCGGAATCGAGCGCAGCCGTTCCGGAAGACGGACGATATTGTCCGAAATTGTTCGGAACTGTTCGTAGTCGGACGCAAGTATCCGGTAGGGTAAAGTCAACAGCTGTTTTTTGTGGACTCTAAACTGTTGGTCATTAGTAGATAATCTCGATATGTTATGCAAGAGACTAATGTCTCACTGCGTCATTGTTCCACTAACCAGCAAAGTATATTTTTACTCATACTGCATTTAAAGGCAATATGGGGTTCGATCGGTAAAGAAACCCTGAAGGAGATTAAACAAGATGTAAATTACAACCCACACTGCAAAACAGCTGATAAATATTCTGAAAACAGCCAAACAGACAAAACACCATTCCAAATTAAATTTTTCTTGCAGAGGACTAAATTACTTTTTTTTAAATTGTTTATGATAATTAGCTCGTTCTTTAAGAGGTAAACGTTAACTTATTTTATTTTATTTTTGCCAGATACACGTTCTAACGCCAACTTTACATAGACTTGTTGAATTATCTCTTTCTTTTCCATTTTTACTTTGGCTATCTCCATTATTACGTCCGCGGCTGACAGTTGCTAAAAGTTAATCAGGATCCTGGCCTATCTTTAGGAGATTTATACAGAAATTACCGCTTAGATGTCGGCTTTTGCAAGTTTTATTTTCATGAAAAAAGATAATGATCTTTTTGTGTAGTGGAAACTTAAGTTTTCGCTCTGTCGAAGTGACTTAACGAATCGAAAGACAAACTGAACAGCTAGGTTAAGTGTTACTGCTAAAGAGGGAAATAATTAATGGTGTTTTTAGTATTAACAGCTACAGTGTTGAATAAAAACGCGAACAAAATTTGTCACAATTTGTGGAAGTAGGTTTAGTTTGAACACCTTGCGTTTTATGCAAATGCTGATGAAAAGTCATAATAGAAAATATATTTTTTTAATTTTCAATAAAAAGGAAACCAATCCGCTATCAGTTTTCTTTGTTAGATGAGCAGATGGACGAGTTAATTACTTCCTTAAATTGAAAGTTTTAAGCGCCTTAGTCGTACAAAACTGGAGGAAAAAGTTTAGAGGGCGGTGAAAAATTTTAAGTACAGCTAAGGATCTTCAATTGTGGCTCTGACATGGAACCCTTTAAAGCTACTTTTTGACTGTCTTGCAAATGAAAGCTGTCAAGTTTATTAAGTGTGATCCGGAATCTTTGAAAGGCGAAGGCAGTTCGCTACGTGGACATTCGACTTCAGAAATAAATTCGTTGTTATGCACTGCTAAGAGTAAACACGGAGAATTTGATCATAATTCTCTGTTGGAGGCGATGGACGAGCGAATGAAACGGGAGGAGTCGATTTTGTCAACAAGTCCTCATAAGAAGATTGTTAACGCTGTCCGTTATGCCAAGACAATGAACTGCTCTCTTGACTCGAGCCTGGAAAAAACCAAGGACTTGTTACATCGCGAATTTGAGCGTGAAATTCGACGCATCTTCGACGTGCAGCAAGCTGCTTATAAGGAGCTACCGGCAGGCAAGAGAACCACACGCTCCCAAGTAACGGGAGTCACAAACAAACAGTTCCGTCGGCGACTGAGTGAAGTATTAGCGAGCCGAAGGAGATCTGAGGAGTTTAAAAGAACTTACACATGCTTTTCCCTACCAAGTTTATCTCCAGTTGAACCATCGAGTCGGCAAGAAAATGTATGTGTTCCTTTATCCCGCCGGAAAAAGGACGGCGAAATTATCTATTTACCGCCGATATAACTGCAACGAAACCTCCTATTTACAAAAAAACAAAATATCACAATTGCACATCTCATCACGTTAAGGGGGACTTCCCGTTTAATTACGTAGCAAAGTATACTTGCCTATTGCATAATGATTTCTGACAGATTTACCGAGTTGTTCCTATTTTAAAGACAGGTTTCTTTTCTAACATGTACTCATTAGCTTCTTTTTATTTTGGTTTTTTAATTCATGATTTCCAAAATTTCAAATGTCCTTCATCGCATCGGCTGTTTAATTTCCATAGTTCCGGTTTAAATGTGAAATACATCAAAATGCTTTTTAAAAAACCTGTCACTTGTGCATGTTAGGGTTATGAAAATCGTTGATCGTTTTATTTGTTAAGATCAAGTTATCAAATTGATACTTTTCGAGTTTAGTTAAAAACGTACTTTGTTCGCATGTATTTTCTACATCAATATTACAGCAGTTTATTTGTTCTCTCAGTTTTACGTTTTCTCATTTTCTAAAATATAAAGTCTGTAGCATAAAAACTGGGAAAATTTGTTGAATTACAGAATAACATTAATTTTAAACGAGCCCTCGCACTCTCTAAATTTGCGACACAAATATATGAAGGTGGAGCAAGGCGGACACATTGTTGGAAGAACTGTACAATAAACTAATCATAAAAGACAGAGCTGAGATGTTAGGACTGATTAAAAATCTTTACAAAACAACAGAGCTAATGATTAAACGCTTTACCTCCATCAGTTTATTTTGATATTTTTAATTGATTGCGCACGATGAGAGATCATTTTTGCGTTTTAATGCGAAGAGAAGCTTATGGTAATGATTTGTCTAAGCGCCCTCCTTCCAATAAGCGCTCGCTCTCTAGTTTAAAGCGCCTTCCCTAGATTTGTTTTTGTTAATAAGGTTATAAGCACCCTCATTCTAATAAGCGCCTTTATTTCAATAGACACCCCTATTCTGTTTCAGTGATAGCCGTGCTAGAGTACATTCCCCCTAAATATTAGTATGCCAATATTCACTGTATATCTTTTTTGTTCAGTTTACAGTTTCTGCTACTGTTTCTTTTTAAATAAACAAGAAAACTTAATTTGCATATTCTGCTATTTCTCAAAAAATAATAAACGCCCTGTTCCCAATAAGCGCCTTGTTTCGAGTGAGCGTCGTCCCTAGAGGAACCATGAGGAAATAAGCGCTTCGGACGCTAAATCGAATCCCTACGGTAGTTGTTTCTGAGAACCAAACCCGGTTAAAGTAGGGTAAGAGTACCTCACAAGAGAACCTCATGATCGCAAGAGCCACATTAACAACAATAAAATAACCGATTCAGTTCTCAATAATTTCAGATTACGTATTGACACTTACAATAAATTTAAATGCGTCTGAAAGACTGGCTCCTCAAGATAAATTAACATCTTTTTCAGTAAATCCTTTTAAAAGCAAAATCATGGTTGCGCAGTTAAATTCTTAAAACTCACAGCCTATTTCCTTTTAAGAAGCACAGTCTTAAAAAAAAATTTCATTAAGATGAGGATTTGCTGAATATAACTTATATTGATAAGTATCACGTGATGTAAAACCTGATCAGTCATCAGCAGAAAAGAAGAGATAAAAAGATGCATCTCCTTGAGCCAAGATCTTGACAAGTCACCGGTAAACTTTGTCAGTATGGAGGGCTGACTATAACCTTTAAAAATTAAGGTGATTCCTCAGAAAAAAAAGTTACCGAACAATTTTTTTAAACTTCCCATAAATTTTCCTTGCCGATGTCTGTTTCAAAGAAATAAATAAAAAGATGGGTCACCGAACTTGTTTAGGATATATGCCTGTACTGGCACTAATCACGCACGTCATTTCATCGGTTCACGGTATATCTTTGCTGCAAGCAAGATTTTTAAAGTAACACTTGAAAAAAAAAACTGATAGGTAGAAAGTCTCGAGCGTATGGAACAATTTTGATTTATAATTTGTGGGAAAATCATGCCAATTTAAATGGCATCGACTCAAAACGTTCCACGAGTCGTTCCTTTCAAGGTCATAATTTGCATCCTCGAGTGCACGCTCTTAGCTTTATCTTTTTTTCCCTTCGAATAATTTTTTAAAATTATTTCCCATATTTAAAGGCGATAAATTGTAAAATAAAAATATACGTCACCGTGCTCGTTCGAGTGCTTAAGACTGACATACCTCTTTACTTGATCCATG